AAATGATTCACGCAGGTCTTCAGCCAAGGCGACAGCTCTGCGTTTGTACACCTGTCAGGATTTACTGAATCAGAAATTGTATTTCAATTAGTCCTATACAATGTCACCTGAAAAAAAAAGTCTTTTGTTTTTCCCTTTCTTATTTTTATAAATTATCAACATCATTGCCACTAACAGCTGTGAATCATACCTTCTATATCTACCCGGCAATAAGCTCACTCATATGTGCTGCTCATTACAACATTCATTATATAACACAGAACAATATCAATGTCCTGTGTGGTACCATGAAGTCTAATCTGTTAAGAAAACTCTCTTTTAATCAAATTTAAAAAGAAATGATGTTGACTTCAATAATATTTATACAATTCTTTTATCTATATTTCCTTAATTTCTACTTTCACTCATTCTCAAGATAAATTCAGTCATTATTGATTTTATAATCTTGTTATAGTTGATCAATCAAAATTATGGTGTAGACTTTTAAACAATTATCATTCTTCAAATATTCGCAAACATCATAAATATGCATCAACATATACATATTCGGTGACATTTTGTTGTGTAAGTTGGGAAAAGATTTAAAATAATGTGGTCATTCATCAATGTACAGACCGATTGCTATTGTCACGGGATCACGGATGTATGCACATGGATTGTTAGAGATGTAGGTGTGGTAGGTACGAGAGTTATCTTTCTTCTCTAAATCAATTCAGTTATATAAACTATTTATATAGGTCTAGTGGGGATGAACGCTAGAACTTCGGTACTATGAAATGTTTTGAGATGGTCTGCATTCTATAAATAATTTATAATAGATTGCTCTAGTCCCTGTCTTGGGGCCCCACCATTCATTCTTCATTCTCGGAAGATTTATCTAATAGTAAATCTGTTGTACGTAAAATATCTAAAACATCTCAATATAGAGTTCTATATCAACGACATTTCCGTACCAGTGTTCGATTGCGATCCTCATCTGGCCTCCTGCGTGCTCCTCTTTGCTCTTCTTCGGCTTCTTCTGTGGTGAATTTTCGTCGGCGGCAAGGGCTGCCGACCCTCTCTTCTTCCTCGGCGGCATGATCAAACGCTTTTTCGCGTGTGAAATGTGTTTAATGGCTTCCTTCTGATTCCAAGAATACGATTATCAATGCTGATCAACGTGACACTTTGCCAAAACTATATCATCAAAGTCTTGAGTGCTCACGAGAGGAATCGTCCCTGAGCTGCAATAACATAACAATACTTTCGGATGCAAGAGCACTTACGTTAGTTGTGGTATACAGAAACGAAACCTTCCGAAAATCTCATAGCCACGTGACAAAAAAGTGCGGGAAAATATTTTCCATGAGAGGTATCTGAAGGGAAAATTGGTAAAGAGGTTCGACGCTCAGCTGGACCCCAAATCAACTTTTTTTCCAATGTGAATATTTTTCATAAATCGGTAAACAGTGTTGAAAAATATCAAAACAATATTCCTAACGCAACCAAAAAATAATTCCTCCCACTTTTAACGGGGTAGGATTAACATGCGAGCTTGCTAATTCGTCAGAGTCATCTCACTACTGTATTTTCTTCATTTTGTATTTGTTAAACATAATTGTTGTATAAATGTGTGTCTTAACAAAAGCATTCTAGTAAATGAACTACATCAATGTAACAAAACCAAGAGTAAATACATATTTCGTACCTATCTGAGATGGAACAATGATAACTAGTAGGAGGGGGTCCGATTGAGTGGTTACGATTTCTCTATTCAGTATCTCCATAAGACTATCTGTTGTCAAAATATGCATTAATCACTCGACAAGGAGGATAGAAGTGGATATTAAAATAGGGAAAAAACCTAAATCGGAAAACAAAAAACCCATAAAATGACACATCTGGAGTCGATGAAATATTGAATTGCATTTGCATGTCTTCCCAAAAGTTATTCGGTGCAGGTTGGGTGTGACTTGTATACTCCAGTAAGTGAAAACAAAACACACACATTCTGTTATTGTTGATGCGTGGAATTTCATTCAAATGAAGGCAATGATTGCTCACTAATTTAATATCATATTTACATATTATTGTGTCTTGTAGATGTACTGATACAGGACTTGTAGTTTTGTCAATGATTTCATCTGTATTTATACACTGTGTAATTATTGTTTACATCTGTATACATGTATTTATACACTGTAATTATTGTTAACATCTGTATACATGTATTTATACACTGTGTAATTATTGTTTACATCTGTATACATGTATTTATACACTGTGTAATTATTGTTTACATCTGTATACATGTATTTATACACTGTGTAATTATTGTTTACATCTGTATACATGTATTTATACACTGTGTGTAATTATTGTCTACATCTGTATACATGTATTTATACACTGTGTGTATATTGTCTACATCTGTATACATGTATTTATACACTGTGTAATTATTGTTTACATCTGTATACATGTATTTATACACTGTGTAATTATTGTTTACATCTGTATACATGTATTTATACACTGTGTAATTATTGTTTACATCTGTATACATGTATTTATACACTGTGTAATTATTGTTTACATCTGTATACATGTATTTATACACTGTGTGTAATTATTGTCTACATCTGTATACATATATTTATACACTGTGTAATTATTGTTTACATCTGTATACATGTATTTATACACTGTGTGTAATTATTGTTTACATCTGTATACATGTATTTATACACTATGTGTAATTATTGTCTACATCTGTATACATGTATTTATACACTGTGTAATTATTGTTTACATCTGTATACATGTATTTATACACTGTGTGTAATTATTGTTTACATCTGTATACATGTATTTTACACTGTAATTATTGTTTACATCTGTATACATGTATTTATACACTGTGTGTAATTATTGTTTACATCTGTATACATGTATTTATACACTGTGTAATTATTGTTTACATCTGTATACATGTATTTATACACTGTGTAATTATTGTTTACATCTGTATACATGTATTTATACATTGTGTAATTATTGTTTACATCTGTATACATGTATTTATACACTGTGTAATTATTGTTTACATCTGTATACATGTATTTATACACTGTGTAATTATTGTTTACATCTGTATACATGTATTTATACACTGTGTAATTATTGTTTACATCTGTATACATGTATTTATACACTGTGTAATTATTGTCTACATCTGTATACATGTATTTATACATTGTGTAATTATTGTCTACATCTGTATACATGTATTTATACACTGTGTGTAATTATTGTCTACATCTGTATACATGTATTTATACATTGTGTAATTATTGTTTACATCTGTATACATGTATTTATACATTGTGTAATTATTGTTTACATCTGTATACATGTATTTATACATTGTGTAATTATTGTTTACATCTGTATACATGTATTTATACACTGTGCAATTATTGTTTACATCTGTATACATGTATTTATACAGTGTGTAGATATTGATTACCGCAGTACATGCTTTTCGCTGTAGTTGGTTGAATTTTACTTCACTATATACACCATAAAATAAACGGAAGTAAATCGAGGTTCAGCGCTTCGTTATCTCAATGGATAATTAACATGACATATCGAGAACATTATGGTATTCTTACATTGGATGTCGATGTATTTTACACGTGATGTAAACTTATTATGTAATGTACAAAACTCCGTCACAGGTACTTCATACAAGCATCATCGATTGAATTCATGGTGTTGATTTCTATACAGAAAGTGGAATTGATTCATCGACAGAAAAAAATTATGAAAATTGTATATCAATTAAACATAGCATTTCAACACAGTATAAACAGCATAGGGAATATTATACATGTTACTAAATAAACGTAGTCGATTTCATCTACATCTCTTAGAGAATTTTGTGTGATACTCTTCTAACAGGTTTCTTTTAAACAATATTTAGAATTTTACCTCAACTTATCATTAAGCTTCACAGAGTAAGTTACAAGAGTATCTCGGAAAACATGGTATGAAAGCACCAGGCAAGGAATGAAGTAAATTCATTTCACAACATCGAACAAAACAAGACAGCATGAAAAAAAAACAGGACATCAATTCATTAAAATATATTGAACAAAACAGGACATCAATTCATTAACATACATTGAACAAAACAAGACATCAGTTTATCAAAATACATTGAACGAAACACGACATCAATTCATTACAATACATTGAACAGTATTGGACATAGTGCAATCAAACACGCCGAACATTACAGGACATAAAAGTATTAGGACTTTTCGACAGATCGATACAAATATTACAGCGAAACCTGACATTGAACAAAAACCATCCCGACTGTACAAGGCATCTTATTTGCAGCACATCATCATAATATCGACGGTTAAAATTTGATGAAAATTTCGTTACATCGGACAATCGTAGATATATCAAAATTATATCCAGTACAGGATATGGCGTCACTATAACAGAGCTCAGCGATATATCAAAATGATATACAGTACAGGATATGACGTCACTATAACATAGCTCAGAGATATATCTATATGATTGCAGTACAGGTTATGACGTCACTATAACAGAGCTCAGAGATATATCAAAATTATATACAGCACAGGATATGACGTCACTATAACAGAGCTCAGAGCGGATACTATAGATAATTACTTCTAACACTTTGGTATCCACAGTAAATAGTCTTGCTGTTTCCATATCACATATTATTTCCGGTCTTATTGAAAAGCTTGGAACAACAAAGGTGTATTATTCTCGTAAGATATGAAACGAACTCCATTATTTCTTTTCCATCATTGAAAATAGATACAGTAATTATATGACTTTCACACTGCCTCTCTCATAAATTCGTTTGTCCATACAACTACTGGTTTGTCCCAGAGGTGACTTTTGTGAAACGTGTAAATCGCGCTCACGACGCACGGCTTCGCCGGCGTTGCCAAATTTTTTCACTTCCGGCCCTAGAAATCGAGCTCCTCCGCAATTTCGTCCTCCTCGTCTGATTTCCAACCGTCGTCCATCACAACTCCCTTGTCTAAAAGCTTGTTCTGAAGTTGTTTACACCTAAAACAATATCAATAGCAGATATAAAGTACCGACAATATATACGAGGAGAGTTGGTTATGATCTTGATCCTTCCGTAAGACCGATCCCTATTGGTCCAACAAATCATTCAATCAGGCTGGCTGAGCATGTTGTACCTACCGTGCCTTGTACCTCCGTCTTGTTAGGTCCACTTTCTCGTGTTGTTTAACACTGCTATAATACGGAGTTTGATTATGTAACTACCGTGCCCTGTATCTCCGTCTTGTTAGGTCTACTTTCTCATGTTATCTAACACTGCTATAATACGGAGTTTGATTATATACCTACCGTGCCTTGTATCTCCGTCTTGCTAGGTCCACTTTCTCGTGTTGTTTAACACTGCTATAATACGGAGTTTGATTATATACCTACCGTGCCCTGTATCTCCGTCTTGTTAGGTCCACTTTCTCGTGTTGTTTAACACTGCTATAATACGGAGTTTGATTATGTAACTACCGTGCCCTGTATCTCCGTCTTGTTAGGTCCACTTTCTCATGTTATCTAACACTGCTATAATACGGAGTTTGATTATATACCTACCGTGCCCTGTATCTCCGTCTTGCTAGGTCCACTTTCTCGAGTTGTCTAACACTGCTATAATACGGAGTTTGATTATGTACCTACCGTGCCCTGTATCTCCGTCTTGCTAGGTCCACTTTCTCGTGTTGTTTAACACTGCTATAATACGGAGTTTGATTATATACCTACCGTGCCCTGTATCTCCGTCTTGCTAGGTCCACTTTCTCGTGTTGTTTAACACTGCTATAATACGGAGTTTGATTATATACCTACCGTGCCCTGTATCTCCGTCTTGCTAGGTCCACTTTCTCGTGTTGTTTAACACTGCTATAATACGGAGTTTGATTATATACCTACCGTGCCCTGTATCTCCGTCTTGCTAGGTCCACTTTCTCGTGTTGTTTAACACTGCTATAATACGGAGTTTGATTATATACCTACCGTGCCCTGTATCTCCGTCTTGCTCCACTTTCTCGTGTTGTTTAACACCTATAATACGGAGTTTGATTATATACCTACCGTGCCCTGTATCTCCGTCTTGCTAGGTCCACTTTCTCGTGTTTAACACTGCTATAATACGGAGTTTATTATAAACAAAAACTGCACAGCCCTGTATCTCCGTCTTGCTAGGTCCACTTTCTCGAGTTGTTTAACACTGCTATAATACGGAGTTTGATTATATACCTACCGTGCCCTGTATCTCCGTCTTGCTAGGTCCACTTTCTCGTGTTGTTTAACACTGCTATAATACGGAGTTTGATTATAATTGAATTGAATTGAATTGAATTTCTTTATTTCCTCCAACGCATGAAGATCAATTCAAAACATAAACGATAATATAAATATACATGGACATAATTTAATATGTTGTGATCTCCAGAAGGAAAGTATATCTGACATTTAACTGTTCATTGTTTTAGTCTATGAGGTTAGAAATTTTGCAATTTTGTTAAATATTACTGAATTACACTACAGGCGGTGTAGCCAATGCACTAGCGCTGGTTTCATTTTATATAACATTAGCATCTTCCAGTGTTGACTAACTTCCAACATATCATCATCTCCCCCAAGAAGGAAGTTTATAAGCCTATCATCATCATTCAATATACACTCTGTACAACCGGAAGTAAATTTACAATACTTGTTTGTAGTCTATCTCTTTCATCAAAATATATACGACAGTCGATTACTAGATGTTTCACAATATCATCCACATTTTGCTTTCACAGATACATTTTGTGATAGGTAGTGCTCCAAGTTTCACAAGAAATCCAAATTCTCTGCACATATCATCTAATTCAAAACACAGCAACCAGAGTTTGTGCGGGGCGATTCTTGGATGTATGGTTTATACCTTAACATACGCTGTTTCCATTCAAGTTATCTCAGATACTGTTTTGTTCACAATATATTTCCAAGCAATTTTAGTAGGAAAGCAGCCGTATTTGATAAAACTATTCAGATATTCTTCAAGTCCGTATCTATAAACCGTAGTAATCAGTGTTCGAAAGATATCCGTGCATTCATCCAAAAATAAGCAATATTCCAATGTTAAAATTAAACAACTGTTTGTGTATTTTGGTGAAATCTGTCAAACACAGTCTTCCAAAAAACAATAATCGGTACTTATCTATGTAATGTTTTAGCCTACAAATACCAAGGGTTTCAATGGCGGGGAACTTTTGTCAAATCCTTGAAGGATTCGACAGCACTTCCGCTGGGTTACCTCAAGTTTGTCCAAACTTCTCTACTTCTCCCCAAGTCTCACACGCATACATGCCAGCGGGTAAGATGACACGTTTCCAGACAAGAGAAGACGCTATCGGATTAACACGAAGACCCATATCTCGAAGAGAATGAAATGATCTTTGTAGTTTGTGACAAACCCTGTCCAGGCATTTATTTACAGGATTAGTATTAGATATGACAGTTCCTGCGTATATCACACTCTCCTTTGTTTCTATTGTATTTCCTCCCATAGAAAAGTCATATTTTGCAGACTGATTTCGGTTATTGAATACGATGATAGCACTCTTGGACGCGTTATATTTCAATTGCCATTTAAAGGCATACATTCTTGAAATTTCGATTAAGTTTTGTAAGCCGTTCTTACTAGAGGATATCAGACAGGTGTCATCAGCAAGTAAGATACCAGGTATATATCCACAATGTTTATGCCACAGTTTGTTCCACATATAGCCTTCATCAATCCGTCAATATACAGTTTAAACATAGGACCGACACCGCGCGTCACGTGTCGAAGTCGCTTAGTTCTCCCTTTAGTCTAACACATACTTTTGTTTGCATGTAAGAGCTGAAGATAATTTTCCACAATACCAAGTTCATATATTTTATAGCCATACCCTGTCAAACGCCTTCTGTTATCTAAAAAAGCGATGTAGAGCGATGATTTCCTTTCGGTATAAAAGGATACTATTTCTTTTAACGTGAAGATTGCTAGCCCCCATGTTTTTTCTAAATCCAAACTGTAGAGAATGTGGAAAATCAACTTTGTTGTGTATAATCCATTTCTCTATCCTTTCCAGAAGTACTTTTTCAAATAACTTACCGATGGAAGATGTCAGAGTTATTCCGCGGTAACTTGTTGGGTCTGACGGATTTTTATTCTCACCTTTGAAAATTGGTATTACTATTCCCTCCTTAAACCTTTGTGGAACACATTCCATTGACAATACAATATTGAATATAACGCACAGTGATTTGTTTAACACTGCTATAATACGGAGCCCTGTATCTCCGTCTTGCTAGGTCCACTTTCTCGTGTTGTTTAACACTGCTATAATACGGAGTTTGATTATATACCTACCGTGCCCTGTATCTCCGTCTTGCTAGGTCCACTTTCTCGAGTTGTTTAACACTGCTATAATACGGAGTTTGATTATATACCTACCGTGCCCTGTATCTCCGTCTTGCTAGGTCCACTTTCTCGTGTTGTTTAACACTGCTATAATACGGAGTTTGATTATATACCTACCGTGCCCTGTATCTCCGTCTTGCTAGGTCCACTTTCTCGTGTTTAACACTGCTATAATACGGAGTTTGATTATATACCTACCGTGCCCTGTATCTCCGTCTTGCTAGGTCCACTTTCTCGAGTTGCTTCGTCTTCGTCTTAAGTTCATTTTCCACACTGATTACATCGGCAAGGGACTTCGTTACACTGCAGTAAATATACATATAAAATAAAAACATATTGTTAGATGTTAATCATATACTACCAGTTTCCCAACTATACTCGTGCTAGCGATTAGAATCTGTTCTCGTTATTTAGCGCCTTTATAGGTAAGATTTACGTTTATGTCTGAATAACACCACGCTTTCTACAACCAATAGATACTTCCTAACGGTTTCGGTACAAGGAGCCGGTACATTCCCCTAACACAAGGAACCGGTACATTCCTCTAATACAAGGAGTCAGCGTAGTCTGTCTGTAGTACAGTCTACCACTCACCTGTCTGTAGTACAATCTACCATTCATATGTCTGTAGTACAACCTAACACTCACCTGTCTGTAGTACAGTCTACCACTCACCTGTCTGTAGTACAATCTACCATTCATATGTCTGTAGTACAACCTACCACTCACCTGTCTGTAGTACAATCTACAACTCACCTGTCTGTAGTACAATCTACCACTCACCTGTCTGTGGTACAATCTACCACTCACCTGTCTGTAGTACAATCTACAACTCACCTGTCTGTAGTACAATCTAACACTCACCTGTCTGTAGTTAAATCTACACTCACCTGTCTGTAGTACAATCTACCACTCACCTGTCTGTAGTACAATCTACCACTCACCTGCCTGTAGTACAATCTACCACTCACCTGTCTGTAGTTAAATCTACACTCACCTGTCTGTAGTACAATCTACCACTCACCTGTCTGTAGTACAGTCTACCACTCACCTGTCTGTAGTACAATCTACCATTCATATGTCTGTAGTACAACCTACCACTCACCTGTCTGTAGTACAATCTACAACTCACCTGTCTGTAGTACAATCTACCACTCACCTGTCTGTAGTTAAATCTACACTCACCTGTCTGTAGTACAATCTACCACTCACCTGTCTGTAGCACAATCTACCACTCACCTGTCTGTAGTACACTCTACCACTCACTTGTCTGTAGTACAATCTACACTCACCTGTCTGTAGTACAATCTACCACTCACCTGTCTGTCTGTAGTACACTCTACCACTCACTTGTCTGTAGTACAATCTACCACTCACCTGTCTGTAGTACAATCTACCACTCACCTGCCTGTAGTACAATCTACCACTCACCTGTCTGTAGTTAAATCTACACTCACCTGTCTGTAGTACAATCTACCACTCACCTGTCTGTAGTACAGTCTACCACTCACCTGTCTGTAGTACAATCTACCATTCATATGTCTGTAGTACAACCTACCACTCACCTGTCTGTAGTACAATCTACCACTCACCTGTCTGTAGTACAATCTACCACTCACCTGTCTGTAGTACACTCTACCACTCACTTGTCTGTAGTACAATCTACACTCACCTGTCTGTAGTACAATCTACCACTCCCCTGTCTGTAGTACACTCTACCACTCACTTGTCTGTAGTACAATCTACACTCACCTGTCTGTAGTACAATCTACCACTCACCTGTCTGTAGTACAATCTACCACTCACCTGTCTGTAGTACAATCTACAACTCACCTGTCTGTAGTACAATCTATCACTCACCTGTCTGTAGTACAATCTATCACTCACCTGTCTGTGGTACAATCTACCACTCACCTGTCTGTAGTGCAATCTACCACTCACCTGTGTGTAGTACAATCTACACTCACCTGTCTGTAGTACAGTCTACAACTCACCTGTCTGTAGTACAATCTACCACTCACCTGTCTGTAGTACAATCTATCACTCACCTGTCTGTAGTACAATCTACCACTCACATGTCTGTAGTACAATCTACCACTCACCTGTCTGTAGTACAATCTAACACTCACCTGTCTGTAGTACAATCTACCACTCACCTGTCTGTAGTACACTCACCTGTCTGTAGTACAATCTATCACTCATCTGTCTGTAGTACAATCTACCACTCACATGTCTGTAGTACAATCTACCACTCACCTGTCTGTAGTACAATCTAACACTCACCTGTCTGTAGTACAATCTACCACTCACCTGTCTGTAGTACACTCACCTGTCTGTAGTACAATCTACCACTCATCTGTCTGTAGTACAATCTAACACTCACCTTTCTGTCTCCGACTTTCCCACCCTAGGGTATTCGTTCGTGCTCTTCTTCCTGAGATACTCCTCCAACTTGTCTATAGTCATACGTAACGTTTCACACCTGTGGAAGTATTGATTATTTTAAGTTTGTAATTCGGTATACTTAATAGATTTGCGGCGATTGTCTACCTTAACACTGAGATGAATTAGTGTAAGAAGGCTTGATCACTGATTACGTCTATACTAAGTACTAAGTACTGTGCGAAAGTTAAAAGATTTACAAAGACACAAGTGGAAGACATCTTCCTATATAGATTAAGATACAGTAAAACTAGTTAATGAATTCAACTTCGTCACGTGGAGCACATTGATTGTACTTTCCACACAGCATGACAAATTGACAGTGTTTAAGATACATGTAGTTACCTTTCCTCGGCTATCTCCCTTTCACGTGCCTCAGACTCCTGTAGACTGGTTTTTTCCTGGAGAGCCAATTGAAGACGTTCCATTTTGACGAGAGTGTCTTTGTACCTGAAATACAATACCACGTGACTTTAGATGTTCTACATACAAATCAGTGTGATGTTCCAGATAATTTGTCAGAATTTACTCTTCATGGTATCTATTCCGCTTCTATGGAACTCAAAGTATAAACTATTCTCCTGGCTCTACTGTCTGTAAATTATAGCCCCAGATTTAGGCAGAAGGCTGAGGAGCATAAACTAATCTCCTGGCTGTACTGTCTGTAAATTATAGCCCCATATTTAGGCAGAAGGCTGAGGAGCATAAACTAATCTCCTGGCTGTACTGTCTGTAAATTATAGTCTCAGATTTAGGCAGAAGGTGAGAAGTATAAACCAATCTCCTGGCTCTACTGCTTGTAAATTATAGTCCCAGATTTAGGCAGAAGGTGAGGAGTATAAACTAATCTCCTGGCTGTAATGCCTGTAAATTATAGCCACAGATTTAGGCAGAAAGCTGAGGAGTATAAACTAATTTCCTGGCCCTACTGTCTGTAAATTATAATCCCAGATTTAGGCAGAAGGTGAGAAGAAAGAATATATAGAATCTCGCCGTGTTACATTTAACATCTGTTATGTTCAAATATAAATATTTCCATTTCTTTCTGTTTTACACAGATGATCAGCGATCCATTCAAGTATATCCTGGTCGATTTAAGATCTCCTGATTTTGTTTGACAATTTTAATATGATCGATATCAAATGTTATCTTTAAAGAACATACGACATCAAAATGTTCTCTTTGGACGACAGTTTCAGCCCGATCATCCGGGCCTTTTGTAGCTGAGTTTAGCATCGCACACAGTCTCAAATATTGGCACTAATATTTAGTTCATAGTTTATTGTAGTTAGCTATACAGCAATATGATACACGAAAATCATCACTGTCAGGCGTTGACAGACTACCACCCGATGACATAACGGTTAAAAGTGTCGGTGTAGTAATTTGGACATTCCCGGAATTCACTAATTATAACTGAATGTATTTAGACAATCCTTAACTTTATTAAAGTGTGTGATAACAACATCAGTGAATACTCGGATCTTATCCATAGTATCAGTTTATAATAATGTACGTGAAATTAGCGTGCTGACCCCGACGTTGACCTTATAGGCCTAAATATAGCTACCTTTCTTCTGCCTCTTTTCGAGCCTTGACCTCCTTCTCCATTTGGCCAACCTTGACCATCAGGTCGTGTTGTGCTTGATTCCATCTGCAGTGTAAAAAAGGATACATACTATTTGTAAAATGGATACAAATCAGTATAGATTTATGTCTGGTAAGATCATGAACGTTTGTTGACGGGTAAGTGAAAGACACTGGGTATGTGGATTGACAGACAGTGCCGATGGAAATTCCAAATGTTTTGTTTGTTCATACATTGACAATATGACTTACTTGTCGTCATTCTTGTTGGGCGTGACACTCCGGTTGGCTGTGTAGTTCGGTGACAGCCGGTGGGGGTCCCTGCAACAGATCCTTAACTCATTATATGTATACGCTGTTCATTAAACTATACCATGAAAACGAGGGTCACCTGACCAAGAAATGATAGCTGAAGTCGTTTGATTTTGTAAGTACGATCAGTGATTTGCTTGATGTCTTAATAAATAAAAAGAAAATGCATTCTGCTGTCAAATCTCTTAAAAGTGGCAAATCGGCTGGTCATGATGGAATTTTTAATGAATATATGAAATCAACAATTAATATTTTGCTACCTTTGTCATCCTCAATACTCCAGGGGTTACGATCACTATTACTCTGTGCAGAGTAGAAGGTGATCGTAATCCCTGGAATATCGAGGATGCTATCTTTGTATGTTGTTTTAACAAAAGCTTTGATTCCGGTATTTTCCTGATTCTTGGTCAAACGGAGCTTTCATACCGATATACAAAAAGAGAGGATGCATGTCTACCTGCAAATCCTCCATTACAGTACTTCGCTGTATAGGTAATCTGTTCACCACTGTCTTAAACATTCGTCTAACATGTTTTGTTGAAAATAGCGAAATTTTATCAGAAACACAAACTGGTTTCAAAAAGTATACTCTGTATCAGACTATTTATTGACTTTGTGTGCTGTTAAGAAATCGTACAATAAACTTTATCGTACGTTTATAGACTTTACTAAAGCCTTTGACCAGTTCTGGCGATCTGGACTCTGCCTTCAGCTTATAGAATCTGGTATCTCAAAAAAATGTTTTAATCTTATTGTACAAATGTATCCAAATATCATGTGTGAATCACAATGGTTATGTTTCCGTATACTTTTACTGTTATTCTGTTGTATAGCAAGGTGAAAATCTGTGCCCTTTTCTGTTTGTCATTTTTCTGAATTAGCTTGAAGTATAATATATACCCATAATGGAAATAGTGTTGTTATAAGTGATTTAAACGGAATACATGAAAGTTCTAGTTCTGTTATACACAGATGATACTGTTATTTTTGCAGAAAAAGCCGCAGAAAGGCAGAAATCACTGTCAGATTTTCGAAGGTACTGTATACAATGGAAGTTGTCAGTAAACTTTGCGCTCAAGATATCGTAGATTACCGAATTTGTAGTTATTTGATAATGTTATTGGAATTTCTGATTGCTATAAATAACTTGAGTTCCTTTTCATTTTTAATGAAACTAGTTTCAGTCACGGTTGACTGTCTCAAAATAACAACAGTCAATACACAAAGAATTGACATTTTCCTTACGACTTACAAATCAGCATATTGCGACGCCATTGCCGATAGAGAGAATATCCTGTATACAAACAAATTATATAGTAAAAACGAAGTAGATGTATGGTTTACTTACTTATGAAGGGTTTGTCTAGTTTTAAGTGTTATACTGGGTTTTAAATACTTCTAAACGACTTTGGAGAAACCAGTTCGAGCTGCAAGAAGTACCTCGTAATATCAGTGGCCTCTCACGCCACGCAGTGAGGTTAAACAACGACAGAAACGTTACAGTATAAACAGTTTCGTCTTTTATTTGATTCATAATCAACTATTAAGCTTTGATATAAGCAGGCTTTATATATATGACTGTGGGTTTAGATATTTGACTACAGATTATTCAGTACACTGGCACCGTCATCGATCGATCGCGTATTTTTATTTAAATACTGTTCACTTGAGAGAGTAAACAACGTAAATAATGCATTAATATATATCTTAATACAGGTAAAGTATAGGCCACACTGATTTGTGTGCTGATAAAATCAAGCTTGTCCATAACATTATTTAAATCTCTCATTGGTAATCTGACTTTCACGCAACCTGCTAATACGTTAGACGTCACTAAGAAATTTATTCCTACATGTATGTATTACTAAACAGTGCTATGTGCACGTGACGGTAACGTGTTCAACATGGTCAGTTTTAAATACAGTTTAAAGTTAACAATCATTATTTATTATATTGTACCCTCTAAAAGTTCAGAGCTTTTTATTGCAGTTGTTAATTTCCTTTTTACTTCTATACACAAATAATAGGATTATCGTAAAGGCAACTGTCCGTTTGTCTTAATGTTATAAATAGTTTGTCGTGCATTAAAAAGTCTATAGGGCCTGTCTGCTTCTTAATGACAAAATATACAATCTTTAGGGACAAGTTTTTTCCATCAAAAACATCTTGTAACTATTGTAAACAGGTACATGTGTACGATTATCATCAGTTGTCTGTAAACACCATTAGGTCGTCCAATGTCCCTGTTCATCCTACCCGAGCCCCAGTCACCGTAACGTCATGTTATGATTATCGCTAATAGTCAGTGATTTGTCTGGTGTAGGTGACCGTGTAGTCATCAAAACATCACCCTCGAATCTCCTGTGAGTTTTGCTGTAAGAATTGCTATTCTGTTGACATATTAACACAAATGAAATGTTCTGAAATATCCAAACTAACTGGCCGGCGATTCCACTACAGGTATATACCGATATATATATATATATATATATATTGGCAAGTATATACAACATGCAACTTAATCAATACAGGTAGTATACTTACGGTGTAGATGTCTTTCTGTTGAACATCCTCTCATTGATTCGATAAACCCAAAAACAAGACAATAATATCCTTTCGGAGGTACATGTCAGTACCTGGTCAAGACATGGCTAAGTACTACACCACACGCGGTACTGACTATAGATTATAAGTACCCAGGTAAAACACGTCAACAAATACAAGTACACAACCTGTTTTCTTACGGTAAGTGTTCTACAGACAGGTACGTCATTAAAACCCTAAAATACACTACAGACGTCTACCATACCGTACAAGGCCACACGTTTATATAAAAATGGACTTAGTTATATCTAAATCCGTGTTCTGTATCTTGCAAATAGATTTGATAAACGATAAAAAACAACAACAAAGATACAACAAATCAACAAAATTATGTCTATAAATCAACAAAATAATTAAAAAAAAAAATAAAAATACCCTACAGTCGGACCTTGAATTTTAATCAAACAAGACAGATTTATAGGTGTCCTCCATATAATCTCTCATCGTCACTTGGGTAGAGGTTAACAGGTGTCGGCACTCACTAGGGTAGAGGTTAACAGGTGTCGGCACTCACTAGGGTAGAGGTTAACAGGTGTCGACATTCACTAGGGTAGAGGTTGACAAGTGTCGACACAAGGGTAGAGGTTAACAGGTGTCGGCACTCACTAGGGTAGAGGGTAACAGGTGTCGACACTCACTAGGGTAGAGGTTAACAGGTGTCGACACTCACTAGGGTAGAGGTTAACAGGTGTCGGCACTCACTAGGGTAGATGTTAACAGGTGTCGACACTCACTAGGGTAGAGGTTAACAGGTGTCGGCACTCACTAGGGTAGATGTTAACAGGTGTCGGCACTCACTAGGGTAGAGGTTAACAGGTGTCGACACTCACTAGGGTAGAGGTTAACAGGTGTCGGCACTCACTTGGGTAGAGGTTAACAGGTGTCGACACTCACTAGGGTAGAGGTTAATAGGTGTCGGCACTCACTAGGGTAGAGGTTAACAGGTGTCGGCACTCACTAGGGTAGAGGTTAACATGTGTCGACACTCACTAGGGTAGAGGTTAACAGGTGTCGGCACTCATTTGGGTAGATGTTAACAGGTGTCGGCACTCACTAGGGTAGATGTTGACAAGTGTCGACACAAGGGTAGAGGTTAACAGGTGTCGACACTCACTAGGGTAGAGGTTAACAGGTGTCGGCACTCACTAGGGTAGAGGTTAACAGGTGTCGGCACTCACTAGGGTAGATGTTAACAGGTGTCGGCACTCACTAGGGTAGAGGTTGACAGGTGTCGACATTCACTAGGGTAGAGGTTAACAGGTGTCGACACTCACTAAGGTAGACGTTAACAGGTGTCGACACAAGGGTAGAGGTTAATAGGTGTCGGCACTCACTAGTGTAGAGGTTAACAGGTGTCGACATTCACTAGGGTAGAGGTTAACAAGTGTCGACACAAGGGTAGAGGTTAACAGGTGTCGACACTCACTAGGGTAGAGGTTAACAGGTGTCGGCACTCACTAGGGTAGAGGTTAACAGGTGTCGACACTCACTAGGGTAGAGGTTAACAGGTGTCGGCACTCACTTGGGTAGATGTTAAGAGGTGTCGACACTCACTAGGGTAGATGTTAACATGTGTCGACACTCACTAGGGTAGAGGCTAACAAATGTCGACACTCACTTGGGTAGAGGTTAACAGGTGTCGACATAAGGGTAGAAGTTAACAGGTGTCGACACTCACTAGGGTAGAGGTTAACAAATGTCGACACTCACAAGGGTAGAGGTTAACAGGTGTCGACACTCACTAGGGTAGATGTTAACAGGTGTCGGCCAGATCGGTTAATGTATTATAAACCCTTCTAGCGCCTCCATAGAAGTTAAACATATCTATTCCTACAAGGAATATCTATACTCTAACACGGCAATGTCAATATTTACCTGCACATTATGATTGATTTTATTCATGTATTCATTGATTTTTTCTATCTTTGGATGTATTTCAATTGATTACTGTGTAACACAGGGACATGAGATTTTGTTACAGCCTAGGTGTATAAGTCTTGTGATATATTTCAATTGATTACTGTGTAACACAGGGACATGAGATTTTGTGACAGCCTAGGTGTATAAGTCTTGTGATATATTTCAATTGATTACTGTGTAACACAGGGACATGAGATTTTGTTACAGCCTAGGTGTATAAGTCTTGTGATATATTTCAATTGATTACTGTGTAACACAGGGACATGAGATTTTGTTACAGCCTAGGTGTATAAGTCTTGTGATATATTTCAATTGATTACTGTGTAACACAGGGACATGAGATTTTGTTACAGCCTAGGTGTATAAGTCTTGTGATATATTTCAATTGATTACTGTGTAACACAGGGACATGAGATTTTGTGACAGCCTAGGTGTAAAAGTCTTGTGATATATTGTAATTGATTACTGTGTAACACTTGAGAATTTAGTACAACCTATGTGTAGAAATCGTACGAAATAAGTAAAGCTGGTAAGTATAAACTAGAAGTTTAAAAGATAAAATGATTAGACGTTTTTGAGGTTAAATCAGTATTTTGATTGGTTTATCTTCTTGTTACTTTACGTTCCATTAGGAACCAGGGTCTTTAAAGGACGTACCCAGTTTGGGTAATATTCGGTAAAAATGATACTCCTCTGTGGTGTTTATAAGGAGATGGATGGAAAGCTCGTCATGTCGAAGAACTGGCCCAGTTAACTGATTCTTGCATGATAAATAAGTAAGTGGTCAGAAATACTCATGGTATCATTGGAATGATCGATATTTTTCTTTCAGTTGCATCTACGTAGGGTTTTACTAGTGATTGCATACAGGTTGTAGTTTCCCGGCCTTCTTAAATGATTATCTTTGTTGATCTCTACCGCACACAGACGATCCTTCAGTAATAACTTCATATGACGTAACTTATATTCCTCGAATAAAAGAGATGTAAGGAAAAGGTTTTTCCTAAATTCCATATGTGAATTCCATTTAGTGCTCAGTTGTACCCTTTGAATTTTTGAAGAAGTAACAAAATGGCTGTCAGGTGACCATCTTGGATTTTGACGATGAAAGCCGGCTGTTATCGATATTTCTTGGGACGTCTTGAATGGATTTTCTCAGTTTCATATGTATGTTTCCTTTGGTTCCTACATGTAGTTGTATGATCGTCTTGGATTAACAGTTAAAGACTATTCTCGATATTCTTGAGAGGAATGTTTAAATTCTATATAGTTAAGAGCAAAAACAGAGGGAAGAAGAGAAAAGACAGAGGAAGGAACAAAGATCAAACAATGGTGGGCGACAAGATCCCATTAGGATCTCTTGTTGATATAAATTACGGCATTACAACATTTAATCGTTTTCTATTGAAACTAATTAATGATGTTTGCGTTATACTGCGATAATTTAGAAACTGTTGTAATTTTGATAATGTCGGTATTTGATACTACTATTTGTCACCATCAACTCGGATTCGTTGTGTGTTGAACGTTTTTACTGGTACCCCTGGTTTAGGAATGAAACCACCTCACATCAGCGACCGTCGGGTCGTGTCAGTACTTCACATCAGTAGCTGTATGTGGCGCCTGGACTCCCGAGGACTTTCAGAGCGACGTGGCTAATCTATGGTTCTGCCTAGCACCCAGGTGTATCCCTAGTTTTATTACCCTACACACTCACTCTTGAACGACTTCCTCGCCTGTAACACCTGGACACGTACACGTCTCAAGACAACACCATATAAGGACAGACACTGACAATACCTAACACCAAATCAGGACATACACGTAAATGCACGGGCAGTAACGAATACAAATTAAACAGAACGTTTACAGACACTTACTCCTATTTACCCTGTGACATATTACTTAATACAACTCATATATAGCTGTGATCTCATTGTCATGCCTATTACTCATCCTCTTAAAAAATGGCTTCTTTAATGTAGTTTTTATCCCACCAGCATCAGATGGTGGACTTTCCAATTCGTTCTTTGTCCAAGGACCGCCGTCCGTCCATAAACATTTTTCTCTCTCTATTTTCAGAGAAGTACTAGATGGATTCCACATGTACGCTTGTACAAGACTACTAGAAAATTAAAATGGCTGACAGGCTACCAATTTGTCTTCCCCAGTTTGTTTTCGTTATTTCTTGAGAAATGCTGGAGTCTGGATGGACACGTTTCTTTTTATAAGTTTATTTCCTCTGGTCCTTAGAGCTTATAGCAATAACAAATGGCCGATAGATAGCCATTTTGGTAATTATAATTCAGTGTTTTGCCGTTTATTGAAGTGATGCCCTCGTTTACTGATGTTACCAGTGGATTAATTTACCTTAAATTTAAATATTTAAACATTTAACCAATAACAGATAATTAAAGATAGCATAGAAAAAAATGTGGGTGTGATCCAACTTATAAAGCACTAATAACGATTATAAACCATGGCGTATCCCTCTCTGATTTCTTGTTTTATTTGTTCTGAAAGCGTCGTTTCGCTATTTTTATCGAATCCGCAAAATAATTTGCACTGTTATGGTATATCCGTAAATTATAATTACCAATCACATTGGCGCGTGTGAAATGAAAGTGGATATATAAGTTCTTCTTTCATGGCAACCTCTTCCAGTTTATAAGTCTTCATATCAAAGGTAGGTCCGAACGATTGAGAAGGTATGTTATAGAAACGATAAACGAAATGAACAAAAGCGTGAAGGTTGCTGATGTTTTGTGTGTTTCGAAGTTTACAAGCAATTTTTTGTAAACACCGTAACAATTGATCGTAGGAGAATGGTCTGAACAGATTATGTTCCACTCAGTCAAAGCACTGTCACATCAATATTCATATTTACTAAACTGTTTATTATTTATTATTCATAAACAAATATTACGTGCTTCTTACTTTGCCACCTCGTCTGGTGCAATTTGTAGCTTCTTAGGAGTTATTTAATTCTGTGTCAGACTGATTTAATTCTGTGTTATAGTTATTTGATTCTATTTTAATGCTATGAACAGTAGAAGTCTATGATAGCTCAGGAGGTGGAGAGTGGAAGCACATACAGGTCATGGTGTAAGGTGCAGAGTACTGTCGGGTTTCTCTGTTGATACATTATTACTGTTATCTGTATTGGTGTATCATATATTCCCAGCTAGAGTATAAATAATTAAATTGAATACTCCAACATAACTATGTATTTTACAGCTTTGTCAACTTATCGGACACAATTTCTAAAAGTGATGATTTATATTAATTAATTATTTGTATTCACAAATTATTAAACATTCTCGTACATGAAACACTGATTTGATTTTCACATTTGACAGCGAAATAAATATGTACATATTAGATGGTTTATACTGCAAAATAGTAAGTAATGTGACAGTTTTCCATACTTAGATTATAACTATCATTAGAATGGTTGCAATACAGAAACAGCAATGGTTGTATTGCACACAAACAAGGCAATATATATTCACATGATATAAACGCCAGAATACCTAAGGAGACAGAGTGACATCGGATTTCTCCTGACCATCCTATTGATTGATACACATTGAGACTCGGAGGTCTGTTGTCCCCTCATTTATGTCCCATCCAACATATTCCATGGTTCATTTAAAACACATGTATACATTGAAGCTGGTTGTGCTCTTAGTGGGGAGAGTTGCTGCTATAATAGTACTTCTGCTATCGGCAAATGCCATCAAACTTTCCCTAAAATTAAATTTCCAAATATAGCAATATTCATATGCAAAGGACAATGATTATTATTCTCTTTATTGCCTCCAGAGATGAAGATTACAGAAGAATGTTGAACATATATACAAAGCGTACGATACATATATAAATGATTACAGAATATGAATAACATAGATACACACTTTATGCTTTAGGAGTAGGCATATCAAGTGCAAATTAAGCGAAAGGGGGTATTTTAAGGTATACCCAAAGAGTTTCAAAATACAATTTTCTGACACAAATCAGGTAAATTATAATGAATTGTTAAGTCACATGACTCCTACAAAATGTACATGGACTATTTGTTATCCTTATCATTATATATATTAATTATAATATAGTTTACACATCTTGAACACACAAATACAGGATTTTATCCTGAATTCAATCAGCTCTTCTGCACTAATTTGATAGTTTACATTTCCTCCAATCAATATATGTAATAACTGAAGGTCTGGGAGAGAGTGTAAATAAACACTAAACAGTATATCTGTGGTATTAATTATTCAGCACCACAGTTGGTCCCTCAACTCGGAAGTATAAATACACTAGCACTAGATGTGTCATAGGGTCTTGATATAGAAACCCACATTTGTGACATAATTCCATGGTAGTCAAGCTATGAATGGTTACCACTATTTTCATTATGTAATGTATATATTTTCTGTATTGAGGAAATCAAAGTGCTAACTTCCATAAAATACTAGGTTTGGGTTGGTTATGTATTTCTCTAAACCTTGTAAAATCATCATCAAACTTCATACGTTCCTTTAGATTGTACTCTTCATATTTCATTACAGCATTATATACTGTTGTTTTCCAATGGCTTTTCTTTCGAAAAATTCCAGTTTCTACAAAAGTATCTAGATTTTGAAGCAGTGAATACTTTTTTAATATTTTGACTATGTCTGGGATGAAACCGATCTGGTATGGTCTTCCTAGTCGAAACAAAAATAGTCTGGTAATGAAAACTTTATAAACAAAAGACATTGTTTTCAATCTACACAATCTTCCGAAAAATAACAACTTTCTAATGTCTATATATGCTTCGATAGAGGTCCAACCAAGTAAAGATGTACACATATCTGTTCTGGTTCTCTTTTCAAACCCTTGAATAGATTTAACAATAAACTGTTGCGCCCTTTCTAGCATTATTATTTCGGTTTTTGTCAATTGCCAAAGCTCACATCCGTATAAGGCTGATGGATAAACTTTAATTTTGATAAGCTTCGCCACTGTTAAAGGGTTTAGAGCACAAGGATGTGCACCAGAACGAACAAGGGACATCGTACCCGATCTTAACTTATTACATGCACGTGCTGTTCTCTCGAATGAGTTCTGTTTAAAGTTTAATAAGATACCAACATGTGTAATGCCATCAGTCTGTGGTATAATACAATTGTACAGATAAAGCTCATTATACACAGTGCAAGTTCTACTATTTGGGTTTGTGAAGGTAACAATTTTGCTTTTTACAGCAGAGAATGAAAAACACCATCTTTTACTATAATTTTCACTTATTGATATCATTTTCTGAAGACTTCTAAGACTCGTACTGACCAAACAGATGTCGTCTGCTTGAGTAGGAACATTAACATTTAAATCAACAATTACTGCTCCTAGGCCAGAATTCTCTATTTCATTTAGTAAATCGTTAATAAATACTAGGTACATTTTGGCAGACAATGCCCCTCCCTGTAATATTCCACGTTCCATTTTGAGCATGGAGGATTTTAACCCATTGAATAAAACACAACTTTCAACATTTGTATACATACATTTTAGTAAAATCCACGTCTTCGCATTTAATCCTAATTCATAAATTTTGTACAATAGTCCAGCATGCCACACAGTGTCGAACGCTTTGTTACTATCTAAGAAAGCAACATGGACGTTGGAACCATATTCAATATTGTGACTTATACATTCTTGAAGACTGAATGATATGCATAGACTACACAAATCTTTTTGATAGGCAGACTGTTGTCTATTTGGAAATACACGGGAATTTAAAACTCGTTGGATTCTTTGTGCTAAAACCATTTCAAACATTTTAAAAAATACAGGTAATAATGTGATCCCCCTGTAGCTGTTGGGGTCTTCTTTCTTTTTACCTTGACCTTTATACAATGTTATAATAATGCCTTTTTTCCAGTCTTTTGGAATGTATTCGTTTTTTATGACATTATTAAATAAGGTGGCGATATATTCAAAAAGTACTGTTCCACCATGTTTAATGTGTTCGTTACTATACCGTCCCACCCTCCTGCTTTTTTAGATTTGAGACCTCTAGACACCAAGGCAATTTCTGAAATGGTAATGCATTCGTTCAGGTATATGTCTACCTCATTATGAACTTTCTTTTCAATTTCGTTCACGCGGTTTATGATTTCTCTTTGGAACGTGTTGTCCAATTCTTCATTTGGTTTATCATGGAAGAAATTTTCGAAATGTGTCGCCCACGCTTCGACGATATTTTTGGGGTCTCGTAAAATTACATTGTTGTATTTCATTTCAGTCTGAAGTGTTTTGCTTTTACAAGATTTACCTTTGTATAAATGCCAGAATAAATTCTGGTCAAGTTCACTGGATTTTTCTATTTCATTAAATTGTTCAGACATATACCTATTAAATGCATCATGAAGTTTTCTTCTGAAAGAAGTTTTGCTCTCTTTATACTGCAGAAAACTATGAGAGAAATTTCTAGGTTTTCCTTCATTTAGCCATTTTTGCCCTTTAATTTGCACCGAAGTGTGCATTTCTGACAATTATTTAGACCAATATGGTTTTCAATAGCTTTTGTACTTTTTTATAGGCAAGGTAGAGTTGGAGGATTGCAATATAGCTGAAACAATATCTTTGGAGAACTGGTCTATGCATTCGTTAGACATTTGTCCGGCAGGCAATTCTATTAACTTTAAATTATTTCCCAACTCCAGCATATAATTATTAATATTACCGTTATGCAGGACTTTTTTCCAGTTATATTTCACAAAATTTGATGTATTTGATGCATTACACCGATATAGCAACAGTGAGACCTTTATAGAACATACAATAGGGCTGTGCTCAGACACATTCATAGCTTCATCATCTAGTACTTCACATGAATCAACTAAGTCAATCTTATTTGACTGGACAAGAACATGGTCAATACAAGTACAGTTACCCGTCTGAGGCCAAAATGTATAAACAGGTCCCTTGCAGTCTGATTGTACGTTGGCAGACAGTAGGTTCATTCTATCTAAAAATGATCGGAAAATTGTGGATCTCTCGTCATCTTTAAATTGGTACCGGGGACCCTTAATTTTAACATTTAAGTCACCTATAACTATCACTAGTCCTTGTTCCGAATAAACAGAGACAAGCGATTCTAATTGGTCTATGTGGTCAGTGAACATTTCAATAGGTCTCGAGGAGGCTGGCATATAAGCCAGAAAACAATATATATGCTCCCCATTCTGAGTTTGAATCTCAATTCCAATAACTCTCGGACTATCCACGGGGATTTCTTGAACAATTAGCGATTTGTCTTTGTACAGAATACCAACACCACCTCTAATACTACATCTGTAACGTAGTGGGTCAATTTCATAGACTGGTTTTGCTATATAAGAGTAACCGCTACTTTTAAAAGTATCAAAAAAGGACATGCTATATTTTCTCAACCAGTGTTCGGAGACACCGCATATATCAATGCTGTGTGTATTGAGACAATTAAGAAGATACGGCGTGCCAGCCATTATCCCCTCGATGTTCCAACACATAATGTTCAGTTTTTCAGCCACGCCCATTCTCAGTTAGAAATACTTCGCGAGGTAGCCACGGGCGTACATATATGCCTTCTGGCCAGAAAGACCGGTTTCCAACAAAACATTTGCCGTCATCTACCACGTTTCGTTGTGCCGAGGCTGTTCGTTTGTAGTCCCTTTCGAAATATCGAAGAAAAGTAACTTTGACATTTTTTCGCTCGAGGTATTGTCGCATCAGCTCCTCTGATGAAGTGGCCTTATTGATACCATGCACATAGAATCTTTGGACTCTACTACGATTCACAGGTTTAAATCCACCAAACTGTTCGCGCTGTATGTTACATACTGATGAAGGGCAGTGGACTTGTATTGGTTTTGGTTTATCATTTGTCTGTTCAATCCTGGTATTATCGGTTGTAGATTTTTCTAGTGGAGAAATTTTCGGCACTGATGAAGAGCAGTGAACTGGTATAGGTTTTGTCTCCTCGTTTATCCGTTTGTCTGTCGTACCATCACTTGCAAATTTGCTGATAGTGTCACTTTTCCTTTGCTTGTTGCTGCTGGTGTCGTCTAACACATGAAATCTGTTTGACAGATTAAGTGTCGGCTATGTTGCTTTGTTGTCCCTCGACTTGCCTTGTGTCGTAACTGTGCTAAAATTAAATTTCCAAATATAGCAATATTCATATACAAAGGACAATGATGATGGACTCTTCAAAAAGCCATCATATGTGGCCCATCCTTCATTTAGCAGTTTTTCCTGTCTGTCTGATGTGCATCACCCATTAATGTTGCTCTTCAGTATTTTACCTTTGAAAATACACTACTTTTACTTCAGAGTGTTAATTTCATCATTCCCTACCTGGTATTGGTCTCATACATATATAGTTGATATATGTAGCCCCCAACATCACAATCACATTTTGATTTCTTATGCATTTTATGTAAGGTCATGTGATAAACTTTAACATCAACATCAACTTTAGCAAAGTGCAACCTATAATGATATAATTGTGATGCCAAATTTATATTACCGGAAAGAGCATTGCTAAAAACATCCAAAAAGTACTGTCCATCTGATTGTTTTTTATGATTCAATTTTAAAAGAACAATTTAACCAAGCAATGAGGTAATTAGGTATTGGCAATATCTGCATGAAAATGAGTTATTTTTTGAAATTATCATTAGAATTATTCTAATGGGCACTGTAATTCAGATATTTGGATGTATTCTGTGTAACACATGTGCTTTCATTTCCATATAGGATACAAGGTTGCACATTTGAAAAATAGACATTAATGTTACTCAAAAGGACTGGAACTCTTTTGTGTTAATTGTACATGCATCGTTGACAAAGATTGTAACAACATATAAATGTTGTGTTCAGTTACAAAAATCCTCTGAAATTTGTTCCAAAAAGGCACAAGGATGCTGTATAGATGTTTAGATGTTAGAAATATGCTCTCAATTCAAGTATACAAAACAACCTGCGGTACAGATTCCAAATATTGCTCTCGGGATATCAACTGCATTAAACAGAAGTAGGTATCCTATGTATCCTTACCGAGACAGGGCAGTTAACATCTTGGTATGGTTTTACTGTTGTTCAACATTTAACACAACACATATAGGTATCTGTACGAAACAGTTGTTCATCTTTGACTCTGTCTTCCAAACAATAATGATGAAAAATAATATTCTTTGTATAATAATACAACTCATCATCCCGTTCTCGAAAACTGCCGCATCGTAAACATGATGTCATTGATTCAGGTACTTATTACATTGTATACTTTGTATGAATACGGTAATGTGCAAAGTTTCAGGGAGCAACATTAACACACATGCCTGCTTGATGATAATTAGTGATATATTAATTATTAATTGTCCCACACAAATGGGTTTACTATGAATATTAGTTTTACCTGAACTCACACACTTGATGATGGACTAATATGCTGTGATTTTTTGATAGTGTCCCGCTGTTTCAATCATGTTGGATAGCGACAGTAGTGAGGAAAATACTCCAGTGAAGAAAACAAATCCAAACAGGCGTCGAAGAGGACTTGCCAGTAGACTTAAACTGCTTAGTTCTGAAATTTCTAATGACTTGACAACGCAAGAAACAGCGATATATTCCACCCAAGTGAACAAATGTTTCAGCTCAAAATCTGGCTCCATTTCATTAAATCCAGAGCTGATTGCAAAAGAAGTTTCAAATGATTCAGGTAGAGTAAGAATTTTACCATCATCATTAACAATAAAAAGGCAATAAAATTTCACTTATTGGAATGGTTCACTTTGATATGTTAGAGATATTTTACTGTAGATTCTTACCTTAGATTTATCGTGTTATGTGGTAGATTGTGATTTATATAGTCATTAAAACATATTAATTGTATTTGGCAGTAGAACATACACGATTTATGTAATATATGTAGATTGATTGATAAGTTTGAATTTTTCACATTTTCCTCAAAGGTTGTTGGTATAAACTGCGTAGTATATTTGACAGCATTAGTTTTGAACACAGAGATCTGATAGGCACAGGTTTCAGCACTTTCAAAGCAGTACATTAAAATCTGTCTTATAATCTTGATACACAGATGTAGAAGAAGAGACAGGTTCCATTTTGTCTTGCAAACAGAGGAAGATATCCCCAAGGCAGACCCGAGATTTAGATGATGACGTTGTCCTATTGGATGATGACGACGACGTTATTTCATGGTAATGTCGTATTGAATAATACATGCATGCCATTTGAAAGAAAGAAATCAAAATTACATATTATAGGGAAATCGTGATGAGATTTCTTGTTTTTTCTCCTTTTCCCAAATTCAGCTTTGACAGATGTGGTGCATGTCCATATGGGAAAATGTGGTCGGAATTTGCAAAAAAAAAACCCAATTAATGATAATTGAATTAGATGGAGAGACTTTTTTCAACCAATGATATAATAGAACTTAACATTTACACCAGAGCTCAGAAAGCATTGAATGGGCATGCAGTGAAGAGTAGCCAAGTGATGGTCCAAGGATAAGGGTAGTGAGTGTGACAGTGAAACAATTGTTGTAGAAATGAGGAAACATCCCTGACTAAATCCAAGTTGACTGGTAAAAAAAAATCTATTTACAACAATTGCAGAATTAGTTACCCAACTTTTACTGATCATGCCTGTTTGCCAGAATTGAAGCAGGTGAGATGTTTTATTAAGGGAGGGAATCATAATACTAGGCTATATCCCTAGTGGTCAGGCAGGTAGTCCCTTACTTTTTCATATCTGTTTGGGGAAATGCACCGCTGACATCTTGTGGGTGAAAGGTGAGTGCTTAACACTTAACAAGTGGGTTCTGAAGGGGGAAATTGTGATAGTGATGTGACAAATGTTTTAAATATGAAAACTGAGAAAATTTTAAACTGTTATAATCAATATGAAATGATCTTTTGAAAATAAATTGCATTGACAGTAAACATGTTTACAGTCTTTTCACTGTTGTCAACACAAATTACTCCTATCATCCCAACTGGAATTTGTCATCAGCTATATATACTTTACATCTGGTGTCTATTTAGAGAAGTTTCCCAAACAATTGAAGAGGTGTAACTCTGTCTATTGAGAGAGCATCTAGATGTAATTGGGTTGTTAAAATCATCTCCATTCAATTTCTTATAACATGTTATGACTTTAATGTCTGTTAAAAGAAAGAAGGCAAATATAAAATGGTGCTTTCACTGTTTATCATTACAAGTACATATTGTCAGAGTGCAGGTTTAATGTCTTAGATTTTAAGAAAGAAACCAAAAAAATATGAAATTTTCTTCTGTATTTTTGCTAATTTTGCTAACCATATCAAAGGTTAGTGTGTTTTTAAAGTATGTGAGACATAGACATTGTTGTACTGATCAAACTGACAACTAACCTCTCTGCATAGCACTCCTCCTGTTAACACAACTGATGCTGAACAGCTACAATCACCCTCACCGCCACCAGGGCCTCCTTCACCTCCAAGGACTACAATACAGGTACAGCAAGCCAGAAGGAAGCCACGTATGACTAAGGCTGTGAAGAAAGCCCTTAGGTAAGGCTTTGTTACTGGCTGAATGTTACTTAATTCTAGTCCCACACTTTTTGTTGAATAATTTTCTGATCTTGCACATTTATTGATGGCGGATTGCCTTGCAGTTGTTTACATTAGGATGTTTTAATTAATGATGCTTTAATGTGTCATCTTTTTCATTGTCAAAATTTGTTTATGAGATTTTGGATGTCCTAATAGATTGTTTTGTATCAGTATTTTGGGGTTGATGCTGTATGTTGCTACAAACATTATGATATTGACTATTTTCTGTTGATTTAATATATATGGTGTAAAATTGAATATGCATCTATGGGACACCAAACATGATTTAAAATGGTTGATCAACAATACCATTTCAATTGACAGATATTCGAAGCTAAACATAGAAACATTTAAAATTTACAAGTGTTTCTCACTCATAATAAAAAGAGTCTTGAAAGCAATTAAGTCATTGAGGTTTGTAGAATTTTTCAGTGATATGTCAGATGCACAAGAAAATACGTTCTGTGTATACTTGAATATTATTTGACATTGTGATGAAAACTTGCAGGGTGGAGGTGCAGTCCAGTTGAGCAGACAATTTCACCATGATCAGAATTTATAGATTACTGACCTGGTATTTAGATTCAGAAGAACTGGAAAGGTTGAATGTTTAGACATTTAGTCACGAACTTGCTGGATTGTGGAGTTGAGAAACGAATAGAAAGAAAGGTTATAATCATGTTCTCTCTGTTTGCACATTAATTTATCATCAATAAACATACGGCAGCTGTTGGGGTAGATGGTGTTTATAGACACAATAGATTTGACAATAGATAACATACAAAAGCAAGACTTTGTTATGGAAGGGATGATGACATGCTTCAAATTTTGATTCATAATCATACCTTAATTCATGTGTGTATTTGTACAAACTCCTTAATTGGTGACATATATTGCAGGTGTGTATTGTTGGGGGTATGATGATACCATAATGATTACGAGACAAATCTTCGGTGCAACTACGTTTAGAAAATGCTGTATGACCTAAGTCATTGACTAAAGAGATACTCACAATCCATAGAAAATGAACAGATTTGTGCCAAAAAATTGTTAAGTCAACTTATTGAGATATGACTACTTCAACTCCAACACTTATACCTTAGAACACATATATGTGTAATAATTATTGTAAAAATCAGTTCATAATGTTATATACAACACATGCTTCTTTTTTTTTATAAATATGAACTTTAAAATTTAAAAAACTGTTGAAATAAATCTTCTTAAACACTCTTGTGCTTAGAATGGACAAGACAGAAGTAAACTGGATCTTATGGAAATAGGAAAATATGCAAAAAACAACTCACATTGTGTATTTAACAACAGTTGTGAAAAAGTTCCAACTTATACTGATCACTGTTGTTGGTCTGGATGGAAGTGTACAAGGGTCTTACCAAGGAAAGAAACTGGAGTACCCGGGGAAAACCCACGTGGTTGTGTAGATATCATACCTGTTTACATCCATTATTCGAATTGCATCCTGAATGTCTAGGTGAAAGATGAGTGCATTGTCACTGAATCACCTGATGACCTACCCCTCCCCCTCAGGGTTCACTTAGAAATTGAATGACAACTTTGAATAAGGTGTTGCTGTAATGGTGAATCCTCTTGTTGTAAGTGATGACGTTGTCTATATCTGTACTGGTGAAGTTTCTATGACTTGTGTAAATGTATATATATGTATTACAGCAACCTTTCCCAGACAAAGACTCAGCTCCATGTCAACAGTGTTCTCCAGGAGAGCGAGTTAAACACAAGTGATATTGTGATCTGTACAGATATCGATCTGGATGAGAAACTCACCCTCAAAGTGAGACACGGGACAGACACTCACAGACTTCCTGTTATGGAGGTAAGTTAGTGGTCACTGACTCCCATCATCAAACATAATTAACTGGTTACGCTACCATTAGCTGACAATGACATCCACACTACCATTGACTGACATTGATATCCACACTACCATTAGCTGACAATGACATCCACACTACCATTGACTGACATTGACATCCACACTACCATTAGCTGACAATGACATCCACACTACCATTGACTGACATTGACATCCATACTACCATTAGCTGGCATTAACATCCACACTACCATTAGCTGACAATGACATCCACACTACCATTGACTGACATTGACATCCACACTACCATTAGCTGGCATTAACATCCACACTACCTTTAGCTGACAATGACATCCACACTACCATTGACTGACATTGATATCCACACTACCATTAGCTGACAATGACATCCACACTACCATTGACTGACATTGACATCCACACTACCATTAGCTGACAATGACATCCACACTACCATTGACTGACATTGACATCCATACTACCATTAGCTGGCATTAACATCCACACTACCATTAGCTGACAATGACATCCACACTACCATTGACTGACATTGACATCCACACTACCATTAGCTGGCATTAACATCCACACTACCTTTAGCTGACAATGACATCCACACTACCATTGACTGACATTGATATCCACACTACCATTAGCTGACAGTGACATCCACACTACCATTGACTGACATTGACATCCACACTACCATTAGCTGACAATGACATCCACACTACCATTGACTGACATTGACATCCATACTACCATTAGCTGGCATTAACATCCACACTACCATTAGCTGACAATGACATCCACACTACCATTGACTGACATTGACATCCACACTACCATTAGCTGGCATTAACATCCACACTACCTTTAGCTGACAATGACATCCACACTACCATTGACTGACATTGATATCCACACTACCATTAGCTGACAATGACATCCACACTACCATTGACTGACATTGACATCCACACTACCATTAGCTGACAATGACATCCACACTACCATTGACTGACATTGACATCCATACTACCATTAGCTGGCATTAACATCCACACTACCATTAGCTGACAATGACATCCACACTACCATTGACTGACATTGACATCCACACTACCATTAGCTGGCATTAACATCCACACTACCTTTAGCTGACAATGACATCCACACTACCATTGACTGACATTGATATCCACACTACCATTAGCTGACAGTGACATCCACACTACCATTGACTGACATTGACATCCACACTACCATTGACTGACATTGACATCCACACTACCATTGACTGACATTGACATCCACACTACCATTGACTGACATTGACATCCAAACTACCATTGACTGACATTGACATCCACACTACCATATATTACCATTGACATCCACACTACCATATATTACCATTGACATCCACACTACCATTGACTGACATTGACATCCACACTACCATTGACTGACATTGACATCCACACTACCATTAGCTGACAATGACATCCACACTACCATTGGCTGATATTAGCATTCACATTCCTATACAAAGCGGGTTTGCTGTTAAAAGATAGATCGGACTGATATTGTAATAAACATGGCGATAGATTGCTGTTAAGATCCAGTTTCGGTGTAAAAACGACATTTGGATGAGTGTAGTTATTAATAGCAACTTGAATGTTTTTCAGATTAACTTCTAATTTTATATAGGTAGAAATAACAGTTATGGTCCGATCAGTGATATAATGCTGGTGTTGTCATTTAATATTGCTCATAACAACACCTTTTCCCTGTGGGGATGTAGATAACAATATTTTAATTAAAATGAGTGAAAGGATTACATTAATTACACTTGTTAAACTCATAAAACTTAGATTTACTGATTTTGAAATTACATAATTAGAAATGTTGTCTTGTTTCAGAGTGATTTCTTCAAAACAATATTGACAAATTTATCAGAAAGACTTCAGGTAGCTGAGAGTCAAATATTATTGATGCATAATGATGTAACAATATCTGGAGAAGACACCCCCAGAAGTCTTGGATTAACGATGGCTGACATTATAGGTAAGTATTATACCTTAACTAAGGCATTTTATTACATATATGTGGTGTTAATCTATGTACTTTTATAATAATTTTTAGTATGACTCGTTGTGAAGTCGGTAGAAACAATAAACTGAAAGTCACTTCAAGGTAGACATGGATAACCATATTTTCTCTAATATAGAAAGGATGTGACATTCATTGGTTTCAAACAAACTTTGTGAAAATTTAACATTTTGACTCAAGTTGACAGTGAATTTTCAGCCCTGTTTCATTTCGTCATAATGACTTACCTGCTGTAGGAAGTCCTGGATGTGGCAACAAAATCTTTGTCTTTTATACAAAATCTGGTTTAAGGATGAATCCTGCATTTCTGATGAAAAAATTCTGGGTCATGACTGAGGCTCCCATGTTTAACAGGGATGCCTGTCTTATCAAGTATTAACATGTGATGGTGTTGCATGTTTACAACTGAAGCCTCAGTATTTTATAGTGACACTGGACTGTATTTCAGTATTAACATGTGATGGTGTTGAATGTTTACAACTGAAGCCCCAATGTTTAACATAGGTACTTGACTGTATTTCAGTTCTTACGTGCATGTTTTTGATTTTCAGACTGTCACGTCAATAGAGAGGAATGGACAGTTCCGTCCACAGAATTCAATGACAGTCTTGAAGATACAAACTTGATCACGCTTTTCATTCAGAGCAGAAATGATCGCCACAAAATGGAGTTCAAGATTGACAAGGTCAGTCACTTGAGAGTGAGATTTATAGCATCTCTGTGAAGCTTTTGTTGCAAAAGAATTAGTCCATAACCAGTTTTGAATTATATAGGAAGTGCATTGAATGTTATTTTGTAAAGGAAGAAAGTATATTTCTATGTGTTTTGTATCATTTTTGTTTCAGACTTCACCTTTAGATGTGTTAATCAGACAATATGCATCAAAAACAGACCGTGATCCTTCAAAATTGAGGCTAATGTTTGATGGTGAAAATCTGGATTTAAGAGACTCAGCCGAAAATCTGGAGATAGAAGATGGCTACACTTTAGATCTCATCATAAAGTGATATTGTTGGAAAGATATACTACAGACAAACATATGGATGATCATGACTACCACTGAATCAAGTGTTCATACAGATTCCCTGAGTACAGACAAACATATGGATGATCAAGACTACCACTGTATCAAGTGTTCATACAGATTCCCTGAGTACAGACAAACATATGGATGATAACGACTACCACTGTATCAAGTGTTCATACAGACTCCCTGAGTACAGACAAACACATGGATGATCACAACTACCACTGTACCAAATGTTCATACAGACTCCCTGAGTACAGACAAACACATGGATGATCACAACTAACTTTGTACCAAATGTTCATACAGACTCCCTGAATACAGACAAACACATGGATGATCACGACTATCACTGTACCAAATGTTCATACCCACTCTCTGACTGAAGACAAACATGTAGATGATCATGACTACCACTGTATGAACTGTTCATACCCACTCTCTGACTGAAGAAAACATGTAGATGATCACGACTATCACTGTATGAACTGTTCATACCCACTCTCTGACTGAAGACAAACATGTAGATGATCAGCACTACCATTGTATGAACTGTTCATACCCACTCTCTGACTGAAGACAAACATGTAGATGATCATGACTACCATTGTATGAACTGTTCATACCCACTCTCTGACTGAAGACAAACATGTAGATGATCATGACTACCACTGTATGAACTGTTCATACCCACTCTCTGACTGAAGACAAACATGTAGATGATCATGACTACCACTGTATGAACTGTTCATACCCACTCTCTGACTGAAGACAAACATGTAGATGATCATGACTACCACTGTATGAACTGTTCATACCCACTCTCTGACTACAGACAAACATGTAGATGATCACGACTGCCACTGTGTAAACTATTTACACTGACTTGCTTACTACCTCAGTTAAATAGGCAGCCAATACCTGCTCATGGATCTTTTTTCATGATGGTGATGTAGTGTTGGAGATTTCTGCTGCTTCATCTATAAATAGAACGGTCTTTATATCAGTGATGTAGTGTTGGAGATATCAGCTGCTTCATCTATAAATAGAACGGTCTTTATATCAGTGATGTAGTGTTGGAGATATCAGCTGCTTCATCTATAAATAGAACGGTCTTTATATCAGTGATGTGGTGTTGGAGATTTCTGCTGCTTCATCTATAAATAGAACGGTCTTTATATCAGTGATGTAGTGTTGGAGATATCAGCTGCTTCATCTATATACAGAATAGTCTTTATATCTGAAAATTGACAGATCATTTCTTGATATGAATATTTGAAAGTTGTAGTTTGGCAGATGGAAAAAAATGAATTTTATAAAATTTAGTTGATTTCATCCAAATATGTACATGTATATATACATTTTTTGGACTTATGTAGGTATATGTTTCTAGTGTAAAAATACAATCTACAACTCCCACTATAAACCTATAGGTTATTCCAAGAAATAGAACATCACTTAAAGGATTAGACAACTCTTGAACTCCCAACGATTTCACTGTTAACCAAACATATAAAAAAAACTCGGTAAATTTAACATTGAAAACAACACAATACCATGGCATACATTCATTTACATAATTAGCAAATTTTTACAGTGACATTCAGAAAGTTCATGAAATTATTTGTTTACATCTTACTTATTCATTATATCATGCTTACTTCAAGTACTTATATTAACACTTATTTACATAATTCAGCAAATTTTTACAGTGACATTCATAAACTGAACCTCTGACTTACTAGTCTTCCACTCAACTTATCAAGCTGAAGAGTAAGTTCCCTTTAGCTGTGCTGTATATTCCGGCTCGTATTTTACCAGGATTACGTTCTCCCCTTCCAGAAAATAAAATCTCCTCAGGTTTCCAGGGGTTACAGTGATGCATGTGACACTAATGCCAAGCATTTTTACATGAGTGACATGTAACAGAGGTGATAATTAATTTCAGTACCTCCACTGCCATTTGACAGTGGGACTCCTACCTTACTAGTCTTAAGCACATTGAGCTAAAGAGAAGTTCTCTCTAGTTGAGTTGTATATTGTGGCTAGTATTCTACAAGGATTACACATTGGTTGTATAATTTGTTCTCTCTCATACTCTAGAAAAAAACATTGATATCAATCAATAGTGGTTTTCTTTCATGTTTCAAATTCTTAAAATTTTCTTCATGCCCTGAAATTTGTTGCTTTTGTCTATCTCATTACATTTTAAAAATGTCCTGGAAGACATTCTTAGATTCCTGTTTTGGCACGATGGGTGATAAAATAAGAATTCTGGAGTTTGCATTACATTGATTACATTGTGTAGGACTGCAGAATCTACCAAATTGATATTTCATAGAGTCTAGTTTATACATAGCCAGTCTAACTACTTCACTAAGATATTACGTTTACAAATTGCTGGTAGTCTAAGCATGTATGTGTAAAAATATAAGTTACTATTTTTTCTGATGTTAACAGAGTGTGTTTGTTATATATCCTGTTGTACATTTCTTTGATACACTTTTATATAAACATGCACTTCGTAATCTACATCTGTCATCTGATGAAAAACCATTCTATTGTAATATTGCTCTCCTTTCACCAGTATGGAAAGAAAATTCTGTAGAATGAAATGATTTGTTGTTATAATAAAGTTTCAGAAGTAAACGAGGATTCATACAATTATTGTTTTCAACAACAATGACACTTCCAAACTATGTACATGTTGACTGGGTACTGTGTTCTGCATTGTATGATCAAACATTATACTACCTAGTACCTACAGCATTTTGCTTTCAGACGAAAAATTTTATAATTGACATTTTTTTGGTCAACTGTCATGCTGTCAGTGAAAGATGCACGGCGTGGCACAACAGATTCTTTAAAATCCTACTTCTGTAGGAATGATTAGATTTTGCACAAATTTAGTCTGAAGCATCCTCCGACAAAGTGGAATTTGTTTTGTATAAAGAGTGGGTGTTGGCCTTCTGGAGCTTTAGGGGTGGGGCCCAATAAGGGAAATAGAAGAAATTTTTGAAATCCTTCTCCTCCTATAGGCATGCTTGGATTTTGTCACAATTGTAGCTGAAGCATGCTTGGTTGAAAGAGAATTTATCTTTTCATAAACAGTGGGTCTCAGCCCTCTGGGGCTTGAGGGGTGGGGCCAAGAAATGGAAATAGAGCAAATTCTTCAAAATTCTTCTGTTGGAATTGACGACAGCCTTGATGAAGAGTACTTAGTGTTGTACAAACAGTGTGTCTAACCCATTGTTGGAGGAGGGGCGGACCTATCAAGGGGAAATAGATGCAAGTGCTTTGAATACTCTTCCTTAAGCTTAGGTTAATTAGTTTCAGTAAACTAAACCAGGTGAACCATAGAGGTGCTGTGGACTTTTGGCAATTTTTAACCTATGATCACCAGATGGTTGGCTGTTCAAATGGCTCTCATTCATTGCATCACAATATATATATTCAAAAGGAAGCCCTTGGCATCCATTCCTATGTCAATTGCGTTTAACATAAATATTTACCAGAAAACAGGTAACCAACCATGAAAATAAATATTTGATATAGAGTAGGATGCGACTATGGTGTAACATTAATCACAGAAATCTTAAAATTTGTTAAGTCTGTAACATACAGACTTTTATTGAATACTTTAAGTAGCTATTTTACTGGGATCTAATCTTTTAGTTTTTTCCAGTGATGGGATAAATCTGCAAAAAGGATATATTAAAAATAAAACAATAATTAATGACTTTTACAAAATCCTGAATGTCATAACCTCAGTGTCTCCTACTACACCCAAAAGAGGAGGTAATAATTACGATAGTAGACTCAAAGGTGAGGACAACTTATCGCTATAGTGTTTCGTCCATCATCATCCTCTGTTCACAAACATATTCACGTCTTTTTACCACTAATAATGTTTCGAAACCAGCATCCTTGGGGCACGACAGATCAAAAGCACTGATTTCAGTGTTTCTTTATACGTCTCCAGGTCCATACAAAAAACTTGTAATTTTGTAATTAATCAAGTGGTATGGTAGTACCTTTTACTGTGGCAGTTTTAATATTTCTTATATATCATAGAAACAATCAAATTTTCTATAGCAGATATTGATTAAAAAACAATCATCATTATGCTTATATGTTGAAATTCTGTCACAGGCTATATTACCCAAATTACGAATGGCCCAAAATATATATGTTGACAATATCCGAAATATTGCTCGCATAACTCAGTGTGGGATGTTCAGGGGGGACTTACATCCACTACATTTTGTCACAGACAAAATCACGTACCAGTCACTTCCTGAATCATGGGTAGGCACCCTGTATGGTTCTCAGTACGAGACAGCTACCAGTTACTTTCTATATCGTGGGTAGGCGTCCTGTATGGTTCTCAGTATGAGACAGCTACCAGTTACTTTCTATATCGTGGGTAGGCACCCTGTATGGTTCTCAGTATGAGACAGCTACCAGTTACTTTCTATATCGTGGGTAGGCACCCTGTATGGTTCTCAGTATGAGACAGCTACCAGTTACTTTCTATATCGTGGGTAGGCGCCCTGTATGGTTCTCAGTATGAGACAGCTACCAGTTACTTTCTATATCGTGGGTAGGCGCCCTGTATGGTTCTCAGTATGAGACAGCTACCAGTTACTTTCTGTTTCGTGGGTAGGTGCCCTGTATGGTTCTCTCAGCTCAGTATGAGACAGCTACCAGTTACTTTCTATATCGTGGGTAGGCACCCTGTGTGGTTCTCAGTATGAGACAGCTACCAGTTACTTTCTGTTTCGTGGGTAGGTGCCCTGTATGGCTCTCTCAGCTCAGTATGAGACAGCTACCAGTTACTTTCTATATTGTGGGTAGGTGCCCTGTATGGTTCTCAGTATGAGACAGTTACCAGTTACTCTCTATATCGTGGGTAGGCACCCTGTATGGTTCACAGTAAGAAAAAGTTATCAGTTACTTGCTGTGGATTTTCGGTCTGACTCTATGGTTCTGACCTAACACCACCCTCCCTCCAGGGAGGCAATGGAAGGGGGTATCATAGCAGCAAAATGTTAAAAAATTTCAAAGATCTTTTCAACTACCAAAATGTCATCCCTTCCCAAAGAATACTGCTAAACAACATACAAATGACAGGAATTTGACCTCTAAATCCTTCTGAAATCATCATCATTGAAACTGTATTTCAGAATTATAGTGATGGTTTAAATTGTAGTCTAACCATCATTACAGCTGTTACACTTGTGTTTTACTGGTGAAGCCAGATTGACGATGCAGTGGGTCTCTTGTTGTTCCTACTGTCACTACTGCTGTTACGCTTGTGTTTAATGGTGAAGCCAGATTGACGATGCAGTGTGTCTCTTGTTGTCCATACTGTCACTACTGCTGTTACGCTTGTGTTTAATGGTGATGCCAGATTGACAAGGCCGTGGGTCTCTTGTTGTCCCTACTGTCACTACTGCTGTTACGCTTGTGTTTTACTGGTGAAGCCAGATTGACGATGTGGGTCTCTTGTTGTTCCTACTGTCACTACTGCTGTTACACTTGTGTTTTACTGGTGAAGCCAGATTGATGATGCAGTGTGTCTCTTGTTGTCCCTACTGTCACTACTGCTGTTACGCTTGTGTTTTAATAGTTAAGCCAGATTGACAAGACCGTGGGTCTCTTGTTTGAGAAACTTAGTTTTGAGGTTAATCCGTTTAATTGTGAATGAAAACTAGATTAGAATTATTGATATGGGATGTCAGCTAATATTCCCGTTTTATATTTACATCAGATTTACCATGTAGTTATCTTATTTTTGTTAACAAGAGGATTTCTTTGACAGATGTTACAACAAAAACATCTTTTATCAATAGTCATGTGACCGGTAAAGCACCAAGTGTGTAAAAATGACCCACCCTTTGTGAGACTAGATCAACATAGAGGTATGTTTGTTGATCCAATCCCTAAGACCATTAAGCTTTTTTCCTGTACAGGTAATGTTGGAAGTCGCCCATAAACCTATTGAATAAGTTGACTTTTTTCTGTTAGAAGAAATAAATGAGGCATAAATGATGTTTCATTTTTCTATTGGCGAACATTTGATAGTTAGTTGTTTATATCACTTGACAACTCTCATAAATATTAACCATTTTCCTTATTTGTAGACAAGTTTACATTTGATCAGAATGTTTCTGTATTGGATGTTTTGGCGTGGGAAGATGTTGAGGATAAGATTTCCAAGAAACACAAGGTAATATAATACAGGTAAATGGACTGTAGACAAAATCCTATTATGATATTTAATGTATAAGATAATGTTTTTGCGTTTCCTTTCCGTCTCGTAGACTTGAGGTATAAATCACTGTCACTGTTGCTGGCCGAGGTTTTCATCTTGTTTAACTTAACCAAGGCCGTATAATCTTCAGTTATGCATCCCTGCCTATAGCTTAGGGTTAGACTGAAACACACTAAAATCCTTAAAACTCTTCAGACATGGCATAACCTTTAGTTCCAAACAACTGTGAATGAGGGGAAAATTGTATCCAGTTTCCTGAACAAGTTTTTGACTGTATACTCTAAACTTCTTGGCAAAAATATTACTCTAAAATCAGTATGTTGATTTTGTTGATGTTTTATTTGCTGGCGATGCCCAAAAGTACCAGTACCCTGAGGCATATTTACTTAGATGATTGACATATATCTATATACAGATCAGTATCGAGGATCAGATCATCAAAAGTCACTTGGAACATTACTTCAGGTTTGTTATTATGGTTCGTGTAAAATGGAAAGTAGTCAACCTTATACTAAATGCATATATAATTAGTCTGATTCTAAAGAAATCAAACTTGGTTAGAATTTGTTAAGACGTTTTGGATAAAAGTTTGATGTTATGCACATATTGATCTTTGCTGATAACCAGGGTGTGGCCAAAAATCAAATACTCCCTTTGGATGGAAAAGTCTTAAAATACAATTTTCTGTCCTTAAACAAATAGCTTTTCTCATTTTCATTTTTCTACACCACACTTTCATTCCAGTTTTTTCAGTGTGTGAGTTCACTCATGCGACTGTTCAGGCCCCTAAGCCTCGTGTTAAGAAATTTCGTTCCCCCACTTGGGCCCCGCTCATCCCCTCTCAGGGAGCCAATGTGCATAATTTAAATAGAACTGATTCCCCATCACCCAAGAATACTTCAGACCAGATTTGGGCAAAATCCATTCATTCCTATAGGAGGAGAAGGATATTAAAGAACTTGCAAAATTCCCCGTTTGGGCCCCGCCCCTCAAACACCTGGGAGCTGAGAACCAATATTTATGCAAACTTGGTTCCCCTTCCTTCAAGTAAAAAGTTGACAGACGATGCATAGACAACAGACGCCACACCATGGCATAAACTCACCGGTCCTTTAGACTAGGTAAGCTAAAACTTAACCAGCGTAGTTGTTCTGACGGATTGGTGTGTATTCAGAGTGAAAGACATCTCATAACACACAAATGCCACACTTTAACATACCTGACACATGGTATAAATCATTCTCTAATCAATATGCTGTACTTCAGAATCAATATCAAAAGCAAGTAAACATTATTTAAAAACATAACTAAAATTATTTAAAAACCAAAACCAGAAAATACAAAACCAGAAAATCCTTACCTACCAATCTTT